ACAGGGTTTCACCATGTTGACCAGGATGGTCTCGATCTCTTGACCTTGTGATCCACCCGCCTCGGCCTCCCAAAGTGCTGGGATTACAGGCTTGAGCCACCGCGCCCGGCATATCTTTATATCTTTTTGTGCCCATTGCTTTGTGCACTTGTCTTTTAAATCAGGAGGAAGAAGAGCAATAAACAAAAGCCTCGTTGTTTTGTCTTCTGTTACCTGCACTGCTGCTCCTGTTTCTTCCTGGGAATAACAGTCTGGGGCCTTCTGTTTCAGCCCGAAGGACCTCCTCTGGTATTTCTTGCAGAAGAGGTCTGCTATTGATGAATCCTCTCAGCTTTTGTTTTTGTGAGAATGTCATAATTTTTCCTTCATCCTTGAGAGATCATTTCCTGGATGTGGACTTCAAGGTCCACAGGCTTTTCCTTCAGCGCTGGGCAGCACTCCCTGCTGCCTCCTCTATCAGCTGGGGCTGTGTGTCACGAGCTGTGTCCGTCTTCCCAGGGCTGTATATCATTAGCCTTGCCTGTTTCCTCGGAGTTGAGTGTCGTGGGCCTCACCCGTCTCCCCAGGCTGCGTTGTGAACCCGTCTTCCCGGGGCTGTGAACCTGTCTTCTAGGGCTGTGTGTCGTGAGCCGTACCCATCTACTCACTGTGCTGACCTCAGGCTTTGTCCTGAACCCTGCTGATGCTGGACTGTGGTGGTTGAGTGGGTCTTCGTCAGTTTGTCCGACTTGGGGTTCTTTGAGCTTATATGTGGGAATTGTTATTATTATTGTTATTTTCATTAAATTTGGGAGGTTTTGGCCATCATATCTTCAAGGGCTCCCTCTGACCTTTTCTCTCCCTCTGTCTGGCCTGAGGGTGCCCCATAGGCCTTGGAGGCTCTGCTGAGTTTTTTCATGTTTCTCTCTGTTCCCTGACTGGATCCTGTGAACTGGCCCATCTTGCGGCATGCTGACTTCTGTCTTCTGCCTGCTCGGGCCTACTGCTGAGTCCCCCTCTAGTGGATTTTTTTCGGTGATTGTATTCAGCTCCAGGGGTTGAGGGAGCTCTATTTCCGTCTTTGTCTCTGCTGAGGGCTTTGTGTGTGTTGTGCCCTCCAGGCTCTGGCAGGCGGTGGACAGCCCAGCCCTGGCCTTCACCGCGGCTGTGCAGAGCTGCATGGTCAGCCTGCAGCCAGCCCAGGGCCTCTCGGGCCCGTTCAGGGTGGGCACAGCCCAGCACGTGTTCACACCATGTAGAGCCCCAGAAGATGCCAGAGCTCTTCTGAGCCTGTGTGGATGTCTCATTCTCAAGCGTTTTCCCCGCAGCCCCTTATTAATCCCAGCTGGCGTCTCTGCTATGGGTGGCCGCAGCTGTGCTGTTTCACCATGGACTGTTTCCAGCAAGTGCCCTAGGGTAGAATCTTTGACACCAGGAGAGCTCTGATCCAGCCATGGCAGTGAGGTGCCCAGCAGGTGGGCTCAGGCAGTTGTGCATGGCACTTTTGGGGTCCCCTTTCCTATCCTGGCAGCTACGGGTTTTCAGGACTGTCAGATTGGAGAGGAGCTTTGGGGTCAGAGCAAAGCTAAGCACCCAAACCTTGTTCTGACGGACACTCAGCCTGTGCTTTCAATAAACACTCTTTGGATGGTTGCAAACCTGCCCGAATTTCCACAGGTCTGAAAACATTGGTTTTGATGGTTTTTACCACTTTTTCTTTTACAGAGGAACAGATTTTGGAGATCCTCACTTTGCCATTCTAGAAGTGCTATTTCTATAGGTTTAAAAAATAAGCTTATTTCATTAATTTAATTGGCCAGGTGCAGTGGCTCACACCTGTAATCACAGCATTTTGGGAGGCCAACATGGGCGGATCACTTGAGGTCAGGACTTCAAGACTAGTCTGGCCAACAGGTTTTACTAGAAACCCTGTCTCTGAAGAAAAAATTACAAAAATTAGCCGGGTATGGTGGCAGGCACTTA